TCACATGGCACAATTGATTTTATCGCATCACATAAAACTGTTTTTGAACTTTTTTGCATTAAAAGCAACTTAAAGTGCTGGAGGTATCGGTATCAACTTTTACTTAAAACATGCTGCATGTTCTTTATCTGTTTGCTTTAAATAAATTTTGGCAACATTCATTCTAACTATTATGTTCATACCATTTATGCCAGTTCAATTGCTCTACCAAAGTAAAGTTTATTATTGCCCACTTTACCTTTGGAGAATGAGATCAGTTCAATTCGGGCGCACAAAATGGTTCATTGGCTTTTATTCATCAAAAAAAAATGTCGGTATCGCAAATGTCACGTGCTTGTCTCGAGTCACTCAACGTGTTGCATTAACGATTTAAAAGTGATGCCGCAAAAATCTTCAATGCCTGCTGCAATAATTGTACATCTGGACATACCGAGAATCCAATTAGAAAGTACGTTGTAGGTTAAATCTTTTCCACGTGTAAGTTCACCTAATATCTTCATTGATCTCATAAATACCAGCTCAATGATCATATCAGTCCAAATGCTGGTCTAATATTTATCTGTTCGGCGAATGGTGAAATACCCGTAATTTATAAATTTTGAGTATTCTTCTGGAGACATTCTGGACTTAAGAGATAACATCTGTTGTAAATACAAATGAGTAATAGGCGGTTTATGTTGCGAAATGTTTACATGGTTTACGTTGTAATTAGTTCAGATTCACAGTCAGTTGGTGAGAAATATAATAAGTTGAAAGAGAAAATCTTTTATTTTTACTGGGAAACAGGAATAAATTCTTCACAATTGTAATTAATATGATTGTTTATAAGTTAACTTTATTTAGATTTTAGTTTAGAAACATAGAGTTTATCAGAAAACAAACTTCACACATTAAACAGTTAAAAATTGTTACATTAAATCTTCTACATTAATTTCGATATATAACAATTATAACACAATAGTATAACAAATAATTTCTAATTTCAAATGAATATTAGCTCCGAGAGTGACGAACCTTGCAAATCTTACTAAGATCAGTAAGATCTTTCTTATCTTACATAAATTAGTAAGAACTTAGTAGTATCTTAATAAGATTTGTCAAAAACATTTCTTTGAATAACTTATTAAGATCTTATTAAGAAATAAATGATGGGAAAAACTATAAATCTAATAAAGATCTTAAAAGATCTTGCTAAGATCTTGCTAAGATCTTAATAAGAAATAAATGCGAGAAAAAAACTACAAATTATATTAAGATCTTGCTGAGATCTAAGTAAGTTAAATTCAAATTAAATTTTCATATAATTTCTTACTGTCGTAAGTTTTTTTTACTTGTGATATATTTTAGACATTTTGCAAAGACAAATAATATATCTAGTCTGAGATTATATCTACCTTTTCAAAAAAGAAAATCCTGCATTTCAACGGATAAACTATGTATTCTAATCAATAATCTATATCTTTCTATTTTTAAAATTGTAATTCATTTTTTTTTAATTTATAATATAAATATATTATTTATTTTTATAAATATATTATTTTTGTATATAACATAAATACACTATTATTTAAATATATTTATAATATAAATATATTATAAAAATATTATAAATTATATTATTTCAAATAAATTTAATTTTCATTTTAAAATAATGTGAATGATGAATAGGCTAATCTTCCATAAGTAATATGCCTATATATATATATATATATATATATATATATATATATATATATATATATATATATATATATATATATATATATATATATATATATATATAGATAGATAGATAGATAGATAGATATAGATATAGATATAGATATAGATTTAGATATAGATATAGATATGTACACTACTAGTGCTTGATTTACGGGTACTTTTTTTTTTCCCGTTAATCGCAATTTTTATTTCTCTATTTTTACTATATTTTTCATATATGATCTTTTTTTTATATTTTTATTTTATGTCATTTTTTATTTATTCATTTTTAATTTTATTACTTTCGTAAAAAAAGCTTTTTTTTTTATAAATATTTTTATCATTTTTATTTAATTATTATCTATTATATTTTTTATTTTTATATATATTTACAAAAACGATTATTTACATTTTTTTTTTTTTTTTTTTTTTCAAATTTAATTCACCTCCTCAAGGCCGAGAAGGCCACTACAGACGAGGAGGCTACTTATTTGTGGTTAAAACCCTCTTTCAACTCTGCTCAGGCTGCTGCGCGGAGAAACGAGTTGAGCGCGGTACTACCAGGGACGTGGTGGGGATCGAACTAGGAACCACTCGTTTATGAAGCGAGCGCTCTACCACTACACCACTACTGCATTAAAATAACTAGCCCTAACCCTAACCCTATGCCTGACCTTGCTGCCTGGCAAACCAAACCCTCAGTCGATGTAGCAGCACTCCCTTGCCAGTCAGTCTATTTGTCAGTCGATGTATGTACTATTCGCTTTGCATAAAAACTATTTACGGGGACATTTTTTTTAAAAAAAAACGCCACTTACGAGGACAAAAAAATTTCGAGTACACTAAAATGTCCCCGATACTGCTAATGTCCTCGTAAGTATTCATTTTAATGTAAAATCTGTTCTCGAACATGCTATTCTTTGGCTATATATATATATATATATATATATATATATATATATATATATATATATATATATATATATATATATATATATATATATATATATATATATATATATATATATATATATTAAATTGCTACAAACCAGTAAAATAAACTAAATATAGGTAAAAACCAGAAGCCTTTTAAAAAATATTATAAAGATATAAATAATAGTAGATACTGAAAGTTAGTTTTTTGGTTAATTAATACTTTAATTGTTAGTATTTTATTATATAATTTATTACATAACACTTGTTTAAAATATGCGCTGATTTGAAACTACTTAACTAAATTTTAGGAGTTCAAAATCACAGTTTAAACTATGTTACTTCTGTAATAAGAGTACAGATTGTGTAGATTGGCTTTACTCTAGTCGAGATAAATCAACATTTTGGATAACTTAGAAAGCAAAATCTTGAAACAAGGATATAATTGTGACTCATCAATAAAAGAATTTTAAAATTGCAAGAATCAACCACTTCTGCCAAGAGATGATGAAAATGAAGTTATGGAAATATGCAATATACCCGAACTTTATCTCTATACAGGAAAAACTATTCTATTGTTGAATGACCTATCAACAAGATGGGGACAAAAAACTAAAAAATCTTTTTAGGAAGGAATCGCCTTGTCAGACAAAAATTTCACGGTCGGGAGTTTGAAGGAAACCAGTGTAAGAAAATGATAAGGTTAACAAATAAGCTTAGAGAAGCACTTTCTGATGATCTTAGGCAATTTTATGAAGCCTTTGATACTGTTGATACTGTGGCTGACTCGTATTTTAGCAAGATACTCAGTATGGATTTTGAAAAAGTAATAGATGATTTTTTTGGTATTTTTGTTACTTTGTAGATTAAAACAAAGAGTACAAAACTTGCCATGTCAAGGAGTTTTATAGAAACAATGGATACCAACTGGGAGTTATCAGCAAACAGGCAGAAGAAACTATTCACTCAAGATTCAGTGAGTTTTCCAGATACAAACTTCCGAGTCATTTCCAGAAAGAAACATACAAAAATGATCTATTACGTGTTGTACTTTCATACAACGCGGAGAGAATTTAAGGCTTTATTATGTTCAGCCAACATCAGGTAACAAAATGTTTAAGCTAAAATATTTTATTATTGATTTTGATAGGATTCTTTAATTTATTGGTCTGAAATATAATATATGTTATTTTAAATAATGGTATTTATTAAGGAATTAGATTATTAGCTACTAGTCTATGCTTTAAATAAGTTCTTCTACGAACTTCATTCTAAACTTGTTCTTTTTCTGTATATATTAATGAGAAAAAAACACAGTTTTTTATATTACAATAAGCACTATTTTTTTTCAAGACACACTTTTCAAATTTTGCGAAATACTTTTTTGTGTACACTATAATCATACCTTGTTAGAAAAACCTAATTTGGTCGTGTGCACTTTTTTGAAACATAAACATTGTTGTGGGGAGGTGTGTGTGGCAGGTAAACCTCTTGCTGCTATCTTGATTTAAATTATAGACACATTGTTTTGACAGTTAAAAGAGATGGAGTTTTTTCCCTCCAGTCATCAATCTAGAATCTAATGACGTAAGGAAAGACTCTGATCCTGAAAGTGAGAAAAAAGATGGCAAAATTGAGCACGCACCAATAAAAAACCTTTGATATGAGTTGGAGCTCACAAACCAGGAAAATTGCATAAAAGTTTTTGGAGGAAACACATTAATACAGACCATTTTTATACAGAATGTTGTCACTACTAATGCCTAATTTTTTAACAGTTACCTGGAAGAGAATAGAAAAAAAGTTCAAAATGGTTAAGGACTTACTGTAAAGTAGGACAAGTCAGGAAGTTAGAAGCTGATTTATTAGCTACAGTAAAACAGGCTAGTCAACTAGCTGTGATTAAACATCAATAAATAAAGATAAAAAAAAAAAAAGCCTGTAAATTTTATAAAAAGAGATATTAAAAGCCATGGTTGTAGCTTCAGTATTTGACATTTGAAGCAAAGATTTTTGCCGCCATTTAAAAAAATGCACTGCTTTATTCTAAATTGTCATGCTAGCTGCAGTATATATACTTTAAACAAAACTAAATAGTTAACTTACTTAAATAAGTGTCAGTTTCCTAGTCTAAAAAAGTTTTGTTTTCATTATGCTTTCCTATATAAAGCCTATTCCTTACTATTTAATAAAAACACTCTTTTGTTAGTAAAATTTATGTCAAAGCTCAAAAATATTTAAAGTTTTTTACAAAGTTTTTTTTTTCTTTAAATTAATACTGATACAATAAATAATTTTAAAAACGCGTTCAAAAGTCTTATAAATAAATTGGTTTTTGTTAATCCAAATTATTATTGTTTTCATAGCTCTATTCTTGGTGATAGGATTGGGTGTGTTCACAAAAAAGTTTCATGGAATGGGAGTATTAAAATACAGCTGGTCCTACATGATTGGATGGAGTTCAGTGGGAATTTCTATCATATCAGCAATTTTATGTTTTGTAATGAAAATGGATAATCAGTTAGCATATTCTGCTTTTTAAATTGAAAAAGGAAAATACCGTTATTAGTTTTTAGGAATGTTTATAAACAATAATATAAATAAAATTTATAATATCTATTATTATATGTACCTTTTTACTATTATTATGTGTTACATTAAATTTTTAAAAAATCTTAACAAAGAAAAAAAGTTTTTATATTATTTTAATGTTTTATTTAATTGCCTCACATATTTTATCTTTAGTTGCAATATAGTACGGACACAATTATGGTTTGAATGAACTAAAACTTCAGATTTTATTATATAAATTGTATTTTTACAGCGGCGGTTCAGTAGGTACTTTGAATGGTCCACCTCAGACAGCACATTAACGATTCAAGACAATCAGCATCAAGGATCAAACAGCCTTGTAAAACTTGTTGAATTCCTTTTTCTAGAAATATATGACTATACACTCCTTCACAAGTAGGTCTCATTATTACATGTTTACTAGGGGTCTTTCGTAATATTTTTGGGTACTTTGGCAGCGATGGAAAGTATGGTTTTAGCAACAAAAGAAAACCTCCGATAGCTACCAATGAAATTTAAAAGTTAACAAACCATTTGGCTAACAAGTTGGTAACAACTTTTTTTTAGGATTGTTATCTATATCACTTCTATTTTCTAAATCTGATGTAATATAAAATTTATCAAGATCATTGTCATTTTGATTGTTTTTACCTCGAACAGGTAATCATCTGTTGCATTACCATTATCACTTTTATATACATTTTAGTCACAACAAACATTTCCCCAACTATTAGAAACATAGGTAAAGAGATTTTTTTTCTAATCAGAACTTTTACCATAAATATTTTTCATATCTTTATCAACTTGCTCCTAACTCTTCTTCATTTAAAATAACTAAGTTCACAAACACAAAGCTTCTAAACAGTCTTTAAAAGTCTAAAGTTTATTTGTACAAAGATAACTTTGTACAAAGATATTTGTACAAGATATAATTTATAACTTTATCAATGAATACAAGATTTTGACACCAATCAAGGTTACAAAACAAATAACAATTACCCCCAAAAAAGCATCTTTAAGTCATGTGTGGTTTATAATATATAATTATTTAGTTAAGCATTCATAAATGTTTTGAATGGGTATTACCTTGCCATTGAAACTAGGTTTTGATGCCACTAAAAAATACAAAATAAAAAGGAAAAAAGCAAATGATCCCTTCAAATTTATGGAATATACGTGTTTACCACTGCTACAAAATGTGCTTGTCACTAAAGATTATAAAACAAAAAAGGATATTAAATAAGATTATATAAATTATTTACAATATACAACATTAAAATTGATATAAGATGATGTTGCCGCTAAGAGTACAAAATAAAAAAGATGTAACACATTATATTCTGATTGGTCCGCTTTAAGTATTTTGAAAAGACTCTATTATTGCTAATATTGATATCAAATGTCAATGCGATTAAATACAAAAAAAAAAGGATAATAAACAAAATAGTCATCTTCAAACTTTGTCATATACAAATATTTTGAATAGGTATGTTGTATTACATTATTATTGGTACCACATACTAATCCAACTAAAAAATAAAAAATTAAAAAGAGAACTTAAAAAGCACTTTTCTTTTGATTTCATCTTTAAATTTGTAGTCATTGTTAATGATTTAAAAAAATATAAATTGTAAAGTTATCATTTAGAGTAGCTGTTGTCACCACATAAAAAATCGAAGTAAAAAAGAGAACAAGTAATCATTTGATTGGTCAACTTATTTTTAAAAGATATATTCTTACCCCTGCTACCAAATGTCAATCCCGCTCCTGCAAATGATATCTTTACATTTTATGGAATTTATATATGTAATGAATAGATACATATAATATTACCAGTGGTACCAAATGCTGTTGCCACTAAATATATGTTGTTTAATTTAAAAGATACAATCACATATTACATGATTTATAATGATTTTGAAAAGATATAATAGGGGAGAATTGCCGAAATTGGAACAGCGCCTTATTTGGAACACTTGTATTTTTGAAAAAAAAAAGGAATTGTTTTAATGTTTTGCATTTTTTTAGTAGAACGCATTGTTTTCTACGTTTTGACTTATTTTGAAAGTTATTCCTCAAAAAATGCCTTTGCACTGGTGCAAATGCGTTTTTTGAATAAAATAACTTTACTTTAAATAACTTTAAATCAATGGTCATTGATTTAAAATTATTTAAAGTAAAGTCATTTTTTTCAGTGATCTAATTTTGCGTTCCCACTATATTGGTTGCACTTGGTAAACTATGGTTTCTCCTTTTTTTGCGTTGTAAACTCCTTTTTTTGCGTTGTGAACATCGTGGCAAACAAACGCCCCAGCGGGCATTTGTTTTTAAAAATTACGTTCTAAAAGTATTTTAAATGTCTTTTAAACGTCTTCTAAACATTCTTACGTGAAAAACGTTTAAAAGACATTTAAAAAGCGTTTAAAAGACATTTAGAACGTAACATTTAAAAACAAATGCCCGTAGGGGCGTTTTTCTTACTGTAAAATAGTTTAAAAAAGGTTTTTTATCTTGTCTAATAAAATTTGGAATGTCTAAATCAGAAGAAATAGTCTCAATATCTATGATGAGAGAACTTCTTTATATTCAAAAAGAAACAATTTTATCTTTTTCCGTGAATCGCTATTTAGCATAAACGAAAAGTTTGATAACTTTCAATCTAGTTTTCAAGAAGTTCGGTGAGAACTTGATGAAGTAAAATCTGGCTTAAATTTTGTTGAAGATGTTTTTAATGATAAAGCTAGAGCAGTAATGAAAGTAAACAGAAGAAATAATTTATGAATTGACGGGATCGTCGAAAATAGTTAAGAAAAAGATTGGGAAATCACAAAAAAAAGAGTAAAACAACTATTTAAAGATAACCTTGGTATTGAAAATAACATTTTAATTGAATGGACTCATCGAGTGGGAGCAACTAATGATAAACGAGAGCAAACAATCGTCTTGATACTCCGTGAGGATATAAAAACAATTACGAGGATAAAAAAACAATTATGGAGAGAGCAGTTAAATTAAAAGGAACCAATGTTTTTTTAAACGAAGATTTTAGTTTTACAACTCAAAAAACTCGAAAAGAACTTTTTGACCAGGCGAAGATTTATCGTCAAAATGGCTATTTTGCGAAAGTTGTTTACAATAAACTTATTGTTCACGAATTTCGAGAAAACACCCGCAACACAGATATTAATCCTACATGCGTCAACGAGTAAGCATTTTGAGTATTTTTTTTTTATTATGTTGAATATTTTTAAATTAGTTATTTTGGAAAAAAAAACTAAAAAATGGCGTCGCTTTTTTCAGAGAAATTAGATTTTCATAATTTAAATTTAGATCCTTTTGAGGACAACTTTATGAACAATCTATCTGAAGAAAACATAAATATTTTTCAAGAAACTCAATTAACTTAATTAACACACCGTATATTGATTCTTTTGATTTTAAAGTAAAAACAGATGATTGTTCATTTTCTGCATTACGCATTAGACATTAGAAGCATGCAGCAAAATTTTGATAAACTAAAAGAATTTTTGAATATTTTAAATTACACGTTTGACGTCATATCTCTTTCAAAGACTTGGCATAATGCAGAAAGTACTCTTGAATCAAATTCTAATTACACTTCACCATTTTACAAACTAATTAGTCAACCACGAGGTGGTGGGAAAAAAGGAGGAGGATTAGGAATTTATGTCTCGGAAAAGTATGCTTTCAAGATAAAAAACATACTATGCTTTTCTAATAATAATTATGAAAGTCTTTTCATTGAATTTATTAATAAAAAATGCCGAAACGTTTTAGTTGTATGTGTTTATCGTCCACCAAGTGGAAAAATAAAAACCTTCGAAACTTTTATCAAAAATACGATTACAAAAATAAATAAATAAAATAAAACATTATACATTACTGGTGACATAAATCTTGGTGCTCTTTCTAACACAAAGTTTCCAAAAACAAAATCTTTTTTTGATATGCTTTTTAAACTTAATGTCTTCTCAACTATTAATAAACCAACGCGAGTAACAAAAACCTCGGCAACAGCAAAAGACAATATTTTTATTAATAATTATTTAGAAACGACATTTGAAACCGGTATATTTTTGACATATACTAGTGATCATTTCCCGGTATTCATAAAAACAAAAAATCTAAATGCTATGATTGATTATCATCCAAAAATCATACATTTGAAAAAACTAAATTTAAAAATGAGTAACACTAATAAGTTAACAAATAGACTAAAACAAGAAACATGGAATAACGTATATAAATGTCAAGATACGAATGGAGCTTACAATGTTTTTTTAAGTACATTTTTGGAGTACTTTAATGAAACCTGTCCTCAAGAGAATATAAGAATTAAGTCAAAAGCAATTGCTAATCCGTGGATGGATAAATTGTTATTAAAGTGCTCAAAAAAAAAAGCAAAAGCTTACGATAAATTTCTGAAAAATAAAAACAATGATAATGAAAATAATTGCAAAAATTATAAATATTTTTACCAAGATCTCATTAAAAATGCAAAAAAAATAAATATTACAGTTATCAAATTAACAAATGGAAATTTGATTGCAAATAAACATGGTCCATCATCAATGTTATAATGGGAAGAGAAAAACTAAATTCACCGTCTCTACCCAAACGAATTGTTATTGAAAACAACGATATATTTAGTCAAAAACAAATTTTGGAAGAATTCATCAAATATTTTACAAGTATTGGTCCAAATCTTGTAAAAAAAATAGTACCAACATCTGTATCATTTAAAACCTTCCTTAAATCAACGAATAATGTTATCATGCTTGATTATGAATTAACCTATGAGGAATTTGAGGCAGCTTTTTCCTCGTTAAAAAAAAAAACAACAAAAAACACAGTCTTAAAAGACTGTGTTTGTTTGCAATAACTAAATTACTAGATATCTCATCATTAAAAAGACTCTTAAAAGATCCAATATACAATTCTCAGGAATCTTTGTTGTTGAAAAATTATCCTGGCTTCCTCATATAATATATATCCAGTCAAAAATTACCAAAATCATAGGTTTAATGTATCGAGTTCGCTCGTACATCAATACAGTTGATTTTTAGTCTTAGTCATTATAGTCTTAAATTAATCTACTTTGGGCTAATTCACAGCCTCATCAGCTATGCAAACATTTTATGGGCAAGTACTCAAACAATAAAGCTTAAGGAACTTTATAGTTTTCAGAAACATGCCTGTAGAAGCATTTACTCTAAAAATAGGCGGGAACACGCTAATCCCTTGATGAAAAATATGAAAATGATGAATGTATTTGAAATAAATATCTACCAGCATTTAATTTTCATGTATCGTTACAATCACAATATTTCTCCTATAAGCTTTAATAATAAGTTTGAGTTAAATAAAAATGATAACTATAATCTTAGAACGAATATGTTGAACACATATAAATTGCCTAGGATAATAAATAAATATTCAGAATACAGCATTTTATATAGAGGTCCTAAGTATGGAATATTTTACAGAAAGGGTTCAAAGGTACGGTGAGTTCGGTAAGTTCTTTCAAGTTTTTAACAAAAAAAGAAATCTTTAAAACCGGTGAAACATTTTTTGTTAATAATGCTTTGGATAAATTCTCTTAAATAAGTTTTTGTTTTGTTTCTACTTTTGTTTGTTGCTTGACAATTTTTATAAGCGAATCACGCTTTTTGTTATGATATTTTATTGAAATTTTTATTTTGTATGTCATATTACGATATTTTAATTAAATCTTGTTAAAGGAGTTCTATGAAAAGATTGCGATGACGTTCTGTCATCCTCATCTTCTTTGAGTTCCTATCTGTTTTACTTATTTTGTTAAATTTTATATTATGTAGTAGAATCTGTAGAATTCTTATGTTATGTAAACAGAGAAAAAAAAAAAAAAAAGGTGCTATAGGTTATACAATTTTTTGTGTTTAATTTGATGGGATTTAAAAATGCAAAATAACAATATAAACTTATCTATTAAGTTGCTGCAAGCATGTTAATGTAGTGATATAACAAAATAGTCCAAAGATTCCTTGATTTAAACAATAAAATTTTCCTTACCTAATCAGAAATAAAATCAAAGGGTCGTAAAAATAGTGTTAGCCATAGAAATCGAAAAATTTACAGTAATATATAGTTTAATATATATTACTGTAATATAGTTACAAAATAGTCAATGGAGTAAAACCTAAAAAAAAAAAAAAAAAGCAAATACAAAAAAAAAAAAAAAAAAACTATTATAAAACATATAAACTAAGAATTTAAAATAAAATAAGTAAAAAAAAATAAAAAAAAATAAAGCAATAATATATATATATATATATATATATATATATATATATATATATATATATATATATATATATATCCACACCAATCATTTCTATATCTATTCTTTGTTTAGATCAATATTTTTAAGTTAAATAATTTATTTTGAAAAACTGCTTCAAGAGCAAAAAAATGAACACTTGCATCTTTCCCGCCTATCTAGAGCTTACTAGAGATTTATAAGTAGGCTTTTTTTTTAAAACCCATATTATTGACAGATCATTTGTTTAATGCGGTTGTTATCAGTGTCGTTTTGGGGGATTTAAGACCTCCATGTAGCATTATAGATTTTGAAAACTTTTTAATCTTGCTGTATTTGTAGCAATATTTATAAGAAAATCTTAATATAATTTTATTATAATCTATAACAATTATAGAAATATTTATAGCAAAAAGATAATAGTATAGCAAAAAAGATTTCAATTGTTAAATTAAAATTACATTTTTTTCATTTTTATAGATTTATTATAAACGATTGTTTCACATACTGTCTGCAAACTTAACATATTCTAAAGATCTTTACACTTACAGACGTTTGTACGTAAAGCTATACAAATGGCAGAACTAAGAAGATCTTAAACCATTAAAAACTATAGACTATAAAACACTAAAGAATCGTTGATAATTTACGCAACGCTAAATTTATTTTTAAAAAAGAAGGAAATATTTAGTACTTTTAGGCGGCGATTATTATTAATAGCTCAGAAAAATTAGCAAAAACTAGGAGCAAGTTAAAAATTGCTGGAAATGTTCAGCATTCACCTTATTAATTTTGGATAAAATCGGCCTAACTCAGACTGGAGCTTTGTCTGAAAGCCGAGTAGCGCCCAAAATGATGTTTGTAATATCTCAGCCTGTAGAAGGTTAAGAAATATGATTCTTGCATCTAGTATTATATTTTTGAGGACGAGAAAGTCATTTTTCGGCATTTTTTATTTTTAAGCTAAACAGCTGAAGCATGGCGGCCAAAAAAAATTCTAAAATTAATACAATTTACGCATACGCTTTTAAATACACTTACAATGTTGTGAGTTTCAGCCCAGAGCGACGAATCTTATAAATCTTAATAAGATTTTCTAATAAGATTATTAGTAAGATTAGTAAGACTTAATGGCAAGACGTGCAAAAAAACTAGTAAGATCTTGTTAAGATTTGAAAGTTTTCGTTCAATTTACTAAAAAGATATTTAAGAAGTAAGAAATATAAGATCCTATTAAGATTTACGTGCGGTTTCTTATTAAGATTTGTAAGAAATGTAAGATCTTAATAAGATTAGTAAGATTTATTTTAATTTCTTAGTAAGATTTCCAAGTTATAGTATGAATTCTTAGTAAGATTTGTAAGATAATATAAGATTATTTTGTATTTGTACCGAATCTATTAAATTTCAAGCATATTTTCGCGTAGAGAATGCTAATAAATAAAACAATTAAGTACTTTAATTAATTTTTTCTCAAAACAAATTCATAATTAGTAATACAACAATGCTCATGCTAACAGTATTAAACAATACTTATATATAATACAACAAACCATTTATGCAAGACTATTCAATACTGTATAGACACTTTAAA